AATGACCTTATTTAGTCAAAATCTTAGTCCAAGGTCATAACTTTAAATTCGAGGTAATTGAGAATCGATATAGTAAAATGATATATCTGACCAAACAAAATCTCTCCAAATCTTAAATTTCGAATCCTGGAAGTCATTAATTCAGATTTAAGTTCGTTATTTCTTGTCTAAGAGGTATCAAGATCTTGACCCCAGGGTCAAGGTCAATGTGATAGTGGAAGATTCTGAGACCCTTGATTGCATATTTAAGAATCTAAACGTAAAAAATGTTTTAGAGGTGAAGACATCTGTTTGTAACAAAAGAGCAAAAATTAGATTCTAATTGTACTTGTTCTATAAAGTTATATTAGGAGACCATCTAATAATTTTTTTGCATGCATTCTGTTATAGGTGTCAAAATATGTCAAATGATTTGGATAAATTGCTTACTTCTTTTCCCTCGTAGATGACAAGGCTAGGCTCCTCATGGTAATGGATTATCGTTCTTGTTAATGGTACAAAGAAACATTATTAAGTTTTACAGACAAAATAATGCCTAGGATCGACCGTGTTACCCAGTACCCATCAGATGCTGTGGTTCTGTAAAATCTTTAGGGAAAATCCCAAAAATGACAGGAGAATGCGCAGACTCACAGACTAGTCTGACATTTCAAGGTATGTGAAGACACTTTCTTTAAATCCGACAGACATTTCAAGGTATATCGCAGTTTATCACACGGTAACCTACATTTATAAATAACGTCTTTTCTTTTAGGTAAAATGTAAATTTGTGGATTTTAGAAAAAACGATTTTATGTAGATTCGCGCAATAATGTAAATTAATGTATTATCTAGAGAGAACAACGTAAAATGAATACTTTTTCAAAAAATAAATAAGGTCACTCATTTCCTCGATAAGCTAAAAGCTTGGTTAATATATACAAAATATGTTATGACCTATATGTCTGAAAAATTGCCATGGTCTTAACGTGGCTTATAAGGGAGAAACGACCCCAGCATATGAGTAGGTGCCTAATATGAAGGTATATACAGCACAATTATTTCTATAATATTAATAATTATGTTGAATATAATTTTGAACCAGAATTTGTTTAACTTAATCATTTTGGGTATTACAGTTAAGTTTAAAGTAGCTGAGAAATAAATTAACATACACACAGAGACTTGTGAACAGGGCCCCCCTCCCCCCACCCCCGATATTCAACCCCTGGGCTTATTTGACATTTGACATCAAAACCCCAAAAATAATCGCTCCACAAAAAAATACTCCATTTTATTATATGATTGAATAATTTCCATCTCTCTGATTGGCTGAGATCCAACTATGTTAGAAAAATATTACGTTGTATTGACCTGCACGTGACGTTCTAGGTCAATACAAGGATTTATTTCCTCTACATTGATCTAAAAATAGATTGGGAAATTCCAAATTGATACAAATTGTTTTAGATAGCTATCTTAACGACTGTGATTTTTATTTTCATGTGAACAAAACATAAGCTAATATACATTTTAGGTGAGGGTGGTAAGAGGGGATGCAGGGACCCCCCTCCAACACTTTCACTGAACAATTTTTTTTTTACTTTTTTACTTTTTGGCAGTCAGTTTTTCCTAATAATGCTCCTTCCTTTCAAAATCTATCTTATAAAAAAGACTGACATTATATATTTTTTACGGCATCTAAAATTGATTTTAAAAAAACATTTCAAATTGATACCACTGGTAAGGTTTATTCACATTTTAATTCTGCTTCTCTCTGAAAATATTTCTGAAAAATATTTGGCTAGGACTTAATAAAATAAGCTGTATAATTTTATCAGTGAGTCATATAATAAAACAATTATTGCTGGTTTTTGAGGTCAATACAATGATTTAACCATCTTCGAAGTACAATATTCGGGCTCGGTGAATATTGTACTCCTCAGATGGCTAAATCATTGTATTGACCTCAAAAACCAGCTATAATTGTATAATATATTATAAGAGAGATAATATATAGTGGAGTATTTTTTGTGGAGCGATTATTTTGGGGTTTTGACGATTTATTCCTATTGCAAACATGTTGAATAAGTGTAATAAATATAAATTGTAAAAAAAAAAATGTCAAATAAGCCCCGGGGTTGAATATCGGGGGGGGGGGGGGGTCCTGTCCACAAGTACCTGTGGTCATATAGTACCCGCATCGTCATTCTTTACAATCTATCGTGTCCTATCGTGTGTGTATCCTATCGTATCGTGCATGTGTCGTATTGTATATCCTGTAAAGGATAACGATGCAGATATTGTATATTACTGTATCTTTGGAAAATTCTCAGCGTTTGAAATCAAAATTTAAAATTGTTTTAAAAGAGGCATTTAGCTTTATATCGTCGAATATGAACTCAAGATTGGAGGGGGTGTCCATCCTCATTGTTTAACAACTGGAATGTCATTCGTAAATGTGTAAGCTTTCTTTGTTTGTCCGAAAGATTATTCAAGAAATCCTTTTTTTTTTTTTTGGATCGACATACATCAATTTATTTGTTATCAAGTCCAAAATGTAGATTTATTTTTACTTCTTCACATATAAACAGAAAGTATCCACTTCGATTTCCACCGAAGGTGGAGGAGAACAGAATAAGTCGCATCAACATGCTTGGTGCTGGAGCTGATTCTGTACTATCCACACAAGGATGATGGCGGAGATTTACAAAGATGAAATATATATTTTAAAAAAAGAAAAAGATATGGAAATTCACTGCTTTTTGACGACAGCACTAAACCTTATATGTTGAAGAATGTTAACGATTTATCTATTTTTCCTGTTGTCAAATAAAGATGAAATCTATTAATTTTTGTAAAGTTAGTTATTTGTTCTTGTGATAATAATTCATATGTATACGTGTACACGTATCTCATCACGCCCTTAGTTTTTCACTATCCAAACTCTGTTACTTTCGGGAAGCTCCAAAGAAATACAGGTCTTAAAAAGCTTTTCCCATACACCTGGAAGCGGAACTCAGTGGCACAGGCACTTGTTTCGGGAATAAATTTTAATCCATAGTATTATAATGACACATTACTATGGGTTAAAATTTATTTCCGAAACAAGTGCCTGTGCTCAGCGGCCTTCCAGGGGATGACCTTTTCCTAATACTCCTAGGAAAACAAACACAGTCCTTACTCAAACGGAGGAAATCGAGTTTAGGAAACTGAATTCAAAACACATAGTGACGTCTTGTGCAGTCTACAATAGACTCATTGCGTGGCATTTCACAGCTCCCATCAATTGTTTAAAACTTTTTCATATTCAAAATATATGTAAATATTTTCCTTTCGATTAATTCATTTCTTCTCAATTACATTTATGTACATATATATCTACACTTTTTTGTAACTTATTTGTTGTATGTTTGATTCTAATCTCCGTAATGGAGGAAATAAAAGATGAATGAATTAATGAATGAATGAATGGCGTCGGAACAAGGGTGGGGTGGGGTTAGGCCCCCTATTTTTTTTTTTTTTGCAAAGATAGACATTACATAGGCATTGCCATTTGGGAGTAGGTTTAGCCCCCACCCCCACCACTTTCAACAGGCACGTTGGAGTTTAGATAAGAAATGGGTAAGAAGAAATAGGTTTTTGTGTTTTGACAATGTACACATCCCCCCCCCCCCCCTTTTTTTTTTGCTTGTCAAGTTTTTTTTTTTTTTTTTTTTTTTTTTTTGTACAGGTTTTGATTTTTTTCTCTTTCACTTAGCCCCCCCCTTTCAATTTGGTTCCGACGCCAATGCTTCATTTATATTGTCGTATTTATCTTTAAAAAAAAAAGGTATTACAAATATATATGTTTTTTAATCAGCAGAATTGGTTATATTTATTCACGCATGTTGCTGTAATTATGATCTTAAGTGCAGTAAAATATTAAAAATTAATAGTATCAATTTTGCCATTCACTTATCATGACGTGTCTTTTATTCACTGATAAACATGTATCATTTCGTCAGCAAATTGTGGATTTCACATGGTATACATTAAAGTCAAAGTGTGGAGCAAGATGTGCATGCCGAAGTAGTTTTTTTTTTTTTACTGGAAAAGTATCTTTTCAATTCTCGTCAAAATTTTACACATGCCAGACTTCTCTAGCAACTTCTCTAACAACCATCTCAATATGTTTTATAAAGTTTTCAAATCTTGTTTTAAAATCGAGCTAACGAGTGAGTACAGTGATGGGAAGTTCAAAATTTGACGACACATTCAGAAATCCGACGTAAAAAATAGGTTACAGGAAAATCTAAATCATCTTTACATTGTGACGTCATAATGAATATGACGTAACAATACCTTTTATGCGTACAAATCATTGTCCAAAAGCAAGTGCCCTTTCGATTCCCTTTCCCTATAATGAATACATATATAAATGAATGAATAAATAATCAAATAAAGTAATAATAAATACTGTAAAAAGCTTCTACTTGTTCTCTGAATAAGATGAACTGGTGTTTCTAGTTCTAATTTTAACAATCTTTAAACATGTAAATTAAGATCCTTTCCTTAAAGCTGCTGACATAGGATGCCTCGCACTCCTCTCTTTGATAGTAATTTGCGCTTTGATTGTTTGATTGAGTTCAACTACTACACCAAGAAAATTAATCTACAGAATTTCTTCCGGAGGAGGGGGCACATCTGTGGTCAATATAATTTTACATTTTCATAACAATGAAAGTGTACTGTTATTGAAAAAAGAGATTTCTTTCATATCCTCAAAAGAAAATATAAAAATTAAGAGAGAGAGAGAGAGAGAGAGATTTAAATGTTAAATGACTGTAATTGTGTTTGTGGCAGTTGTATTTGATAGAGAAGAAGGTTTAGAAAATAGCTATCTTTTTTATAAATCTAAGCTTGAAATTCTTGCTTGTCGTGTGTTACATAAAACAAGTTATCAGCAGTCAGGAGATTGAAATAAAACTATGCTACCTATTCCAAAAAAGATCAAGCCCCCCCTTTCAGCTATAAGTAAGTCGTACGATGGATTAGTTCTGACGCATGTCAATCGTCCTTCACCCTAATGTTTACATTCCTTGATAGACATGATCATGACATGAAACAGGTAAGTTAATTTACGCTATAAAACCATAGTGCACACACACACAGAATGGATGTCCTGAGAGTGAATATTCCATTCTTTCAATTCAAATGATTGTCACTGCTAATTTTTGGGGGAATATTCATTCAACAATATTATTTCAAAATATCCCCGGGCAATATGAATTAAAATGTCGAGACATCAAATAAATCGAAGAGAAAATAGTGCGGATAAAGCAAACAAGTCTTCAGTGCATGCAATGTGTGAGCACATTGGAGAGAGAGAGAGAGAGAGATGCATGTCAATTTGCTGACAATGCTAGCCGGGTTAGTGATTGTTTTTTTTTTACTTCAGAAAAGTCCATATTAATATGTATTGTAGACATTGCATTTATTGCTATTCTAAAAAATCAAAATACCTCATGATATTTTGTTGACATTAAAATAATTATTTAATGTTCATAGTTCAAAAGTATAGATTCAGCTTGCCCTGAGACACTTAGATCATATAGATACTGTACTCTAAAAACTAGGTCATGGGGTGCGATGAATCGATTTTTTTATCTGCGATATATAAGCATGTGCACATGTCTATAAAAACATTCAGTCCATATATGGTGCAATATTCTGACTAATCAAAAGTCGGTAAAAATATAATTTTGTGAATGAACGCATCCTTAAACTGTTTAAAGAAGAGTTATAGATGTACTAGATATTGACATTTAATGAATAATAAACATTGCCTATTCTTATGCAACAATTACTTTTTTATGAGTCATTTAAATGACGACCAGGGAAAACCATCTCCCCAGATAAAAAATAAAAAAATGATGAATATGATATTTGGATTTAGTTTTCAGCACACATCACTGTATAATGTTGGAACCAAGTACAGAAAATCTGCAAAAACCAAAAGTCCCAAAAGAAGTGAAGCGCAAAGACATGAAACATGCGAAAGGCAAGAAAAGACAGAAGTACATCCCCACATCAGAGCCATTAGAACTCCCATTCTGTCGAATCTGTGGGAAAAAGGCTTCAGGGATTCATTTTGGAATATATAGCTGTGAGGCCTGCAAGGTATAATTATGTTCCCCAAACGAAGTTGGGGAACATATTGTTTTTACTCTGTTTCTTATTATGTTCCCCAAACGAAGTTGGGGAACATATTGTTTTTACTCTGTTTCTTATTATTAAGGTCTTCCGTCTTCACGGAAGACCTTATAGTGATTCTATTGTTTCTTATTTATTATTATTATTATTATTCTTTTTTTGACAAAATTTTGTGCAGGCGATTTCTCGAAAACTATTCAGCGGTTTTTCATGAAACTTTCACAAAATATGTGTCATTATATGAAGTTGTTACATCCGAAGAGAAATTTGGAAAAATCGCTCTTGGTGCCAACTTATGGACAATTTCCTGATTTTAAAATGCGATTTTGTCGCCCCTTTTTGTCGAAAATGGCTAAGGATATGATATGGAGACTTATTGGAGATGATAGATCATGACTTTGTGGTTTGCAGAATCACCTTTTCGTGCGTCGTCAGTACTTCCGGTCGTTACGAGGTGCAAATTAAAAAATTCGTATTTTCTAACTTTTTTGTTTTTCAACATTTTTTATTTATTTTTGGAATGATAATAGAGACCCTTTAAACGATGCTTACTATATAAGTTGTTTGGATATTGGTTAATCAGAACTCTAGATATTAATATTTGAAAATATGAAGCGGACCCAAGATGGCGGCTGTCTCTGTCAACTCCGCCATTTCGCGAGTAGGGGTTTATGGAGGCAGCTGAGCGTTTGACAAAATGATACATGAAAAGTAAAAAAAACTACGTGGACTTTCACCTAGTAGTACGCTGCAATTCAGTGACAATCTTAAAACTTAATTTCCGTTTTACTGCTTTAGTGTAATTGGGCTAGATACGTGTGTGCAATGTGTTAAATTTACTTTCTTAACGTCGAAATAGAATAAAGGCGATAAGAAGTTGTTTTATTTAATATTTAATATCATTGAAGCTATCAAACCTATTTGATAGATCAGACCAAAGGATAGGCGCGAATATTTACTCGTGGTGTTTGTCGCCAGATTATGAATAGTGGCCCGCCTTTTATAATTCTTAGACAGGTGTATTGTTGCAGGTGTACTGTATACATAACTATATTTAGAGCAGTATTCAAAATTTATTAGTTTTTCACAAACGTAACCACTGTGTTTCCCATGTACACTTGAGTCATATTAAACTAATACAAAAGACAGAAATAAGAAAACCATTTTTAAATAAGATCGTTTAATGGAGTTTATATTAACATTCTTTTCTCAAAGATATTTGAAGTTGAACATTGAACATAAATGAAATCTGATTCCTTGACCGTCGAAGGGCGAGACATGTCTTTCATCGAACCATTTCTACCTTTTCATGAAGGTGTAAAGAATCGGGTTAGTTCACTTTGGGGATAAACAGGTAATTAAAAAAAGTTAAAAATGATTACCATTTCACTTCTTTAGTGTTACTTACCTATATAAGATATAGAATATGTACAATCTGTTAAATATACTTTCTAAACCTCGAAATTTAGGCTTAAAGAACGTTCCTTTTTCTGTATTCTGTTGAAGCTATCACACCTATTTAATGAAACATTCCAAAGAAAAGGCGCGCAGATTAACTTGTGGCGTTTGGCGCGAAATTATAAATAGTGGCGCGCCTTTCGTGATTCTTAGACAGGTGTATTGTTGAAGAAGTATATTCAAGTACATTTAGAGCAGTGGACTCAAACGCGTAATTTAAGCGTGTTGGGAATAAAGAGGAAAAAAGCGCGTTGGATTTTCACGCTGGCGACCTGGGTTCAATCCTCTTTGTGACCAAATTTTTTTTATCACTTTTTCAGCTCGATTTTAGGTTCTTTTCCTGAATCGGACGGAAGACCTCTCGTTGCTCGCAACGAGATCGTTTCTAGTTATTATTATTATTATTTTTCTTCTCGGGAAAATTTTGTCCGCGAATGATCTTGTAAAGTACACATCCGATTAAGGGGAAACCTTTTTAGGGTATGTAGGCATGTTGTGTAGATTTGCGGAACGAAGGTCATTTTGCGCGCACGTGCTTGCAAGAGCGCGCACGTGCAACACGTGAAATGACTAATATACTTGAAATTGCCGTAACTTTTACATTTTTCGATGTATAGCTTTGGTATTTAGAATATATAGACATATTACAAATGTAAATAAGATGACATTGTCAACATGCCATTTTGCGCGCACGTGCTTGCAAGAGCGCGCACGTACAACACATTAAAACGCCAATATAATGTATATTGCCTTAACTTTTCTATTTTGTGATGAAATGCTTTGAAACTCATAATGTAAGGATATATTAGTAGTATAGATAAGATGACATGGTCAAAATAGCAAGATCTCACGCTCATGCACGTGCGCTTTGCTCTGATTGGCTGAAACTAAAGTCTCAATATCTTTCTTGTTTTTTGACGAAATCCTTTGAAATTTTGAACATAGCCATGCATTAGGATTACCTACAACATGATATATAGCAATTATCATGAATACACGTGCATGCACGTGCCCTGCAATATGATTGGCTGAAACTTTAAATAGCTATAACTCCCTTGGTATTCAACCAAACAGGATGGGATTTGGAACACGGATATATATAATGGACTTCTACAAGAAGGTATGGTCACCATGCACATGCATACACGTGCGTGTGCGTGTGCTGCAATCCGATTGGCTGAAACTTTAAACAGCTATAACTCCCTTGGTTTTAAACCAAACGGGTTGGGATTTAGAACACAGATAGATGTAATGGACTTCTACAAGAAGGCATGGTCACCATGCTCATGTATGCACGTGCGTGCACGTGAAAAGAGTAAAATCAAACATACACTTGAATGAGCGTATTTTTTAATACTTTTGGATTATATACTTTAATATTTAATATATTAAAATTTATAGATCGTGTAGACAAAATGATATGGTCATTACGCACATATATTCACATTCGCACGCGTGCAATGCTAAAATTTGAATGAACTTGGTACACTTCTGGGTAAACGTTGTTAAAGTCTCAAATGCATAGAGTTTGCCTTATTTAATGAAGCTTACAGGGGATATGGTACCAAAAGGGAGTTGGGGAGCGTTTGGGGAACATCTGTAACGGTCCCCGTTACAATTAGCACTAGTTATTATTATTATTTTTCTTCTTCTTCCTGGGTACTTTTTTGTCCGGGAGTGATCTTGTAAACTACACATCCGACTTAGGTAAAACCTTTTTAGGGCCAGTAGGCATGTTATGTAGATTTGCGGAACGAAGGTCATATTGCGCGCACGTGCTTGCAAGAGCGTGCACGTGCAACACCTGTAATGACCGATTTAATTGATATGGGCGTAACTTTTCACATTTTTGATGAAATCCTTTGAAACTCATATTATAAGGATATATTAGTAGCATAGACAATAGGACATGGTCAAAATAGCAAGATCTCACGCGCATGCACGTGCGCTTCGCTCTGATTGGCTGAAACAAAAATCTCAATATCTTTTCTGTTTTATGACGAAATGTTATGAAATTTAAAATATAGGCATACTGTCGGATGTTCTACAATACGATATATAGTAATTTTCATGAAAACACGTGCATGCACGTGCGCTGCAATCTGATTGGCTTAAACTTTAAATAGCTATAACTCCCTTGGTTTTCAACCAAACGGGGTGGGATTTAGAACATAGATAGATGTAATGAACTTCTACAAGAAGATATGGTACCAAGCTCATGTATGCACGTGCGTGCACGTGAAATGAGTAAATTCAGAAATACACTTGAATAAGCGTATTTTTTAAAATAATTTTGGATTAAATACTTTTATATTTAGTATATAAAAATATCAGAGTGTGTAGACAAGATGATATGGTCATTACGCATATGCATTCACACGTGCACGCGTGCAATGCTAAAATTTGAATGAACTTGGTACACTTCTGGGTAAACGTTGTTAAAGTCTCAAATGCATAGAGTTTGTCTTATTTAATGAAGCTTACAGGGGATATGTCACCAAAAGGGAGTTGGGGAGCGTTTGGGGAACATCTGTAACAGTCCCCGTTACAATTAGCACTAGTTTACTTTGTTATTAATTTCTAAATTATTTTTTTCCTTTACTAAATAAATTATGGTAATTTTTAAAATATGTTTCAAATGCTTTACAGAGCACACGTTGGGAATTGCTTTGTTAGGCAAAAACTGCAGGTTTTCTGTCTTTTTGTCTGTCTGTAACCACAATTTGATCTTGTGAAAAATAATAAACTATGATGCAAGTTTTATGTTCAATAGCTAGAGCAAGTCTTGATCTCTTACTAGCTAGTTATATAGTTTGTTCCTGATAATGTTACTGTTATCTTTGCTGATGAAAACCTTTGAAAAATCAGCAGCATGTTGCAGAATTTTGATATTTATAGCTCTGAATAACTTTAGTTATTTGATCATCTAAGGTCAAATGCATGATTGACACATTTCTCAATATACAATTTTTCCAGGAATTAAATCATAAGTGATGTACCTTAAAACCCAAGATTCTAGGGGATGCGGTATACCCTATATATTATAATCTATAATTTATTTTAATTATTAACAGAAAATGGGCTCATTTAATAAAACATGTGCCTGTATACCATATAATGATTTTATTCCAGTATTCATACGTTTTTCAGATTTAAGTGACAACCTTGTGATTTTCGTTCAGGTCATCAATTTTAGGAAAAATCATCAAAAGGAGTTTTCCACTTAAGTATAGTAGCTTGGTCCCTTTTTTCGCCCCTATTTTACAGAAAATACTTGAGGATATGTGATAATTTTTATTTTCATGGTGTTTAACATAGTATTTCTGATTAAAATTTTGTACAATCATTATTAAGGATTTTGAGTATCAAGAAATAAAAGCCAATTTTCAACACCTACCGCACATACAAATTCCGGAACATTTTCTTTCGAACAGAGTATGGTTTCTCTTTTACATACACATGGGCGGAGACATTTAAATTAGTTACTATATAAAGGAAGACATGGTGAG